ACAGAGCAGCCAGACTAGGAAAATTCTTGGAAGAAGAAAGGCAGAGATGCAGTCACAAGCCAGATGTAAAGGATGTAAGATGAGAATACCTTACTGAGAAAAGGTACCAGGCCACGTGGCTAACATAGGTAAGAATTATGGATTAAATTAAGTTATAAGAGCTAGTTAGTAATAAGCCTGAGCAATAGGTCAAACAGTTTATAATTAATATAAGCCTCTGTGTTAAATATAAGCTGTTTATTTAGGACCAAACAGCTGCAGGACTGGGCGAGACAGAAACTTCTGTCTACACAGATCTGTGCAACCAACAGCACTCTGCAAAGGGCCTTGTGGTGGCTGGCATGGGGTGGGGGCTGTAGGTTTGGGGTCAGAGTCCACAAACCCTTGATAAAGTAAGGAAGCCAGGGTGGGGAACCCATGGATTATCCATGCAGATCCCTGTATAGTATGTGTTTCTGAACTCTAACTGCACTGAGTTGATTCTCAATACATTTCAGGCTTTTGGGGACCGGGAGCAGGTCCCCAAGGGCATCATTGTCCTTGAAGCACAGGTAGGTTAGAAAAAGCTCCTGTCCACCATTTTAAACAAGGTCTCTGGAGACAGGGACTCATCCAGTTCCCCCAGAGAACCTGAGCTCCTGGTAGCCTTGAGATATAGCCATGAGCGAGGTTATGCTGGGTAGAGCAGGCCCCTTACTGCCTCTCTCCCTGGTTTCTCTTTCCACCACTTCCCTTTGTTTCTGAGGTTACCAGCTGATATGTGTCATGGCCCCTGATGCCAAGAGCCTGCATTTGCAGTGCATAAAGCCTCAGGGACCCCCAGCACCTGACTTCCTACCCCAACCTATCCAAAACTTCAAAAGAGAAAACTGGCCCAGGCCAGAGGGCCAGGTGGTCTCTGGCGGGGGGGGTGGGGGTGAGATTCCACCCATGCTTCCTTAAGTCCTTCTCCCTGCCCACGTTCCATGCCAGCACCCAGGAGCAACCTTTGAGTGGAAAACCACCACCAGTCCTGTGACACCATTGCTGTTCTGTGGCTCTTCCTGGGAGACTTGGAAAGGGGCCATCATGGCGGCCACACATGCAGTTTTTACTGCTGACTCTGGAAGCCCGTGAGCACCAGTATGACCAGGCTACCACACATGGAACCACTCCAGAAAGTGAAGGGTCTCAGCAGCAGCCACAGCAGCAGCACCAGGAATGAGGAGAGTGACACCAACCCCCATGCCAGGCTCACATACCTGTGCACAGACTGCAGGCCGCACGGTGTGCCTGGATGTGTTTGCACTGGTGAGCCCAGGAGCCCGGCATGCACGTGGGCTCAGACCCCAGCAGGCTCCTCCCTCTCCCAGCTCCTGCAGAACACCCCTGGCAGAGTGTTTGCTGAGGCCTCTCTAGAGCTGTTGCCCCTAGTAACAGCAGTGCCTGGAGCCAAGGAAGACTGGGGTCTGGAGCAGGACTTAGTAACGTTCCCCTTTCCCTGGCTTAGCACACACCTGGCCACCCCAGGGAACGCTTCAGTGGAGGAGGGCTCAGTGCAGTGGCTTTGTCCAGGTCCCAGCTGTAGACTCCCCATGACCCTGACTGTCATATGAACTAGGTCATTGGCATAATCCTGGCCAAACTGGCCTGGCCCGGATTGGCCAGACCATGGTCCCAGGCCTAATTATCCCACATTTGGTCAATAAACCATTAACACGGCGTCTTGGATGTTAATAATCATCTCATGAAAAAGTCGGCATAATTTATGAGATCAACGCTGGTTAGCAAAATTAATAAATATTTCATTCGGTGAGATTTATCCTGGCACGCCTCTGACAGGTGGGCTGGGGCCTTCATGCAGCCTCGGGGAGCCAGCAGCCAGGAGAGAATGGCCCAGAACTCACTTGGCCCAATAAACATTTACCTCAAATCCTCTGACTATAAATCCACAGTCTGGACGAGGGTGCCCAGTAAAACCTGACTTAACATTATGTGCGGGCCATTAACAATATTTATATAGATGTCACCTCGGGGAGGGTTAACATCTCCAGGCAGGGTCTAGCAGGCGTGACGGGAGCTGGGGGATGTGGGACCAGGGAGGCTTCTCAGACCCCCCTGGGGCTTGTGTCTCTCTGTTTTGTGACCTCAACAAGCTTCTTACTTTCCAGGGCAGTGGTTTCCTCACCTGTGAAATAGTAAGGGAGTCCCTGGAGTGGAGTTCATCACACATCCCAAACGAAGCACCCTGTAAAGAGAAATTGCTGGAACCCTTGCTCAAAGAACCCCCAGATATATTCTGGGGGTGGGTACTGACGAGCTGCCCCTCACAAACCTGCAGGTTAGGTGTTCACACTGACTGTCCTTTTCCAAAAGGGGAAACTGAGGCTTGGATAGCAAGTGCCTTGCCAGCTGGAGTTGAGAGAACTGTACTGGGATTTGGGTCTGGGGTGTCCTGCTTCCCCTGGTGCCACCATGGCCCCCCTAGCATGGGGGAGCCCTTTCCTTCCCCGCTGTTCCACTCAGGTTGGTTTGGAAGGAGCTGTTCTCCAAGGGACAGACATTTCTGTGCTAGAAACACTGAAGGCAGGGCAGGCACGGTGGTCCATGCCTGTGAAAATCTGAGAGGTGGAGGCAGGAGAATCAGGAGTTCTGGGGCAGCCTGGGCTACATGAGGCCCTGTCTCAAAAACAACAACAACAACAACACTACAACTGAGGAGAGAGAGAGAGAGAGAGAGAGAGAGAGAGAGAGAGAGAGAGAGAGACTCACTGGCCAATCTGCTGCCCAGGCCAGAGTCAAGGTGAAGTCCGCAAGACACAGCAGTGGAATGGGATATACTGTAGGGTTCTGCACCAGGCCTGGGAAGCACCTCTGCTTCCAGCTTAGGCAACCTTGGCTCCTGCAGGAGGCCTTAAGCCCCAAACGGAAAGCTAGCTGAATTGGACAGTGAGTTGGCACATTTGCTGCTAAAGCTCCCTTCAGTCCCACCCCTGACCACCTGAACACCGCGGCCTGGGGTGGAAGGGTGGGGGTGGGGATTCACCCTTCAGCAGCCTTCCTGGAACTTCTGCCCAGCCCTCATAGCCTGGAACAACCCAGGAGGGTGCATAGCCCAGCTCACAGAACATGCTCAGTGCATATAGGTGTGTGACCCTCGCCCCGGTTCCCATACAAGGCAACCGAGGCTTAGAAAGGGGCAAAGCCAGATCTCGAGCACAAATCTATCCCAGCACTAAAGCCACCTCCTCAGGGACCTCAGTGGCGTAGGGATGATGGACAGAGAGAAGTGCCCGGGAACCTAGCTGCTTTCTAGGCTGTGGGGACCATGAGCCGAGCTCCTGCTGTAGGCAGGACAGGAAACTGTAAGAACAAGGGTGAGGCTGACACCAAAGAAACATGGGTGAGACACAGGGGAGGTGCCAGAAGGGAGGCAGGCATATGCCAGCCTCTGAAGTGGCTCCCTGTGAGGCAATCGGCTTTTCCCAGGTGGCCCCCAGCACCTGGGAGGACTGCCCCAATCCTACCATGCTAGGTCCTAGATCCGGGGGAGGAGCTGTAAGCCTGGAGGGGGTGGGGTGGATGTGAGAGGCAGCCATGGCAGGGAAGGTGGGCTTACAGAGGACAGGGAAGAGGTTCCTGGGACACTGGGGCTAGGGAGCTTGGCTGGAAGTTCAGCACCCATCCCGTGAGCAGTGGGGAGTCACGGAAGACTTCTGAGCAGGATCAGATAGGCATTTCAGAGTCATGTGACCAGCGAGGGAGAGCCCGTGTGCAGTTCCAACAGGGCTAATTTTAGGCCCGTGTTAGTCCCGGCCTCCCCGGAACCTCCACTTGTATCTGTTTCCTAGGACCTTCCGGACATCCATGCCCCAGAGGCCCCGCTGAACAACCCAGCCAGGCTCTGGTCGTTTGTTCAGGCCATCTCCGGTCCTCAGCCCACCCCAGCCAGCAACTATGAGTGGGGCGCAATCGCCAGGCCCAAAGCCCATTTCTAATTCAGCCAGGCATCCAAGTAGAGAGAAATCGCTGGGCCTCCGAAGGTGTTTCCTAAGAGTGCTGTGAGTCCTTGGCTAAGCCACTGTCCCTCCCTGGGACTCTGTACAGTAAGGAGCTGGTAACAGGCACCACTGTTTTCAATGCTAGACACGGCAGCCATGCTGCCTCCCCACCTAATCCCCCAGTCCCTGAAGGCAGAGTCCTAGTCACTGCGGCTCCAGTGTGGGAAGAGGGGGAGCTAGAGAGAAAAAAGCCTCAGGCAAGGTCCCTCAGCTCAAGGTGGCAGAGCCAGGGGAGGAGCTGGGCCACCACAGGAGGAAGGACTTCTGGTCCCTTCGAGACTTGGAAGTACACAGGGCAGAGCCACCAGCGCCTTCTATGACTCTTGCTCAGAATCCCAGAAGGCAGGTGAAAGCCTCTGGTCTCTGCGGTGCCCTTGGGCTGGAGTGGCCCTGGAGAGGGATGAGAGGGAAAGACCTAACCTGGGCTCACACAGCCTTGGCTCTCAGGTGGGAGCCTGCGCGTTCCCAGCAGCTCTGCCCAGGCCTGGCTGCCCAGGGTACCGACTCCGGGACTCTGAGCCTGGGGAAGGCCCTGGGCTCTCTCCATGCCTGTGTGGGTTTAAACCAGTCGTGGCCCCTCTGTGAATCCGGCCTTCAAAGGTTCATTTATTAAGTACCTGCCAAGGGGCTGAGACTTTCACAAGGGACTGAACGACTGCTAAGGCCCAGAGGGGGTTTGCCTGAGCAACTGTCTCAGGCAGAATAAGTCCATTGGTGTGGACCAGCTCAGACAGAGACGGGAAGGGCTGAGCCAGAAGACTCTGGGCCGGCACAGTCAGCTTTCCCTCGCCTTGACTGAAAGACTGAAGTAGTCACTGTCTACGGAAGAAAGGTTTATTCTGAATCTGAGTCTACGGCCACCTGTTGTCATGGTGGCCTTTGGTGTTCTAACACCCACTGTTAGGGCACACCACCAGTGACATCACTTCCTCCCACTAGACCCCATCTCTTAGAGGATCCGTTGCCTTCCAAGGTGCCACAGGCTAATTAACCAAGAAAGTTTTTGACCCACAGACCTTTGAGGTCGGGGTGTTCTCATATTTCAGGTCCAGATTATAGTAGGCCTGGGGAGAACAGTGAACCCCAGAGTGGCTATGAGGAGCCCAAATGCAGGTCCCTCTGGGATTCACTTGCAAGAATGAGACACAGTGAGTTCTTAATAAGATCTACAATTAGCGCTGCTAAGAGATTACTCCCAGGGAATTGTGGGAGCTGGGGCTGCATTAGGGTCTGGCTCCTGGGGGGAGGGACTGGACTTGAGCCCCCATCAAATCTGTTCCTCTTCAGGCTGGGGTTCATGGCCCTCTTTTCTGCCTCTTCAGAAAGCTGAAGACTATCCCCGAGCGTCAGACCTTCCCAGGTCTTGGGACACACAATGGCATTCAATCAGACCCTCAGCTCCGGAAGAAAACACACCGTGTTAACACCTTTATTGCGGGCCGAGCTGTATTTGAGATATTAAAAGACATCCTGTTTCTGCCCCCATGTCACTTCTGAGATGTAGCATAGATAAATGATATATCACCGCTCGAGATCTACCGAAACCATTAGTAACCGTGACATTTTGACGTCAGATTTTAAAAAATTCCTAAGTAATCTTTTTGATTTATGAAACGCTGTCTGGGTTCATCGAGAGAGATCTCAGATTTATCACCGCCTGGTTAGAATTATTAATGATTTTCAATTTGTAAATCCGAAGTCGAGAAAGTCTGTGAGCTCAGGGCAAAAACTCCCTCTGACGGAGGCCTGGCCTCTCCTGCTGCTGTTCTGCCTCCAGGAAACGAGGGGACAAAGGTTCTGTGCACCGGCGCAAAGTTTCCCCAAATCCTGCCTGCAACCAGCAAGACAGTGTGGGGGCGCTCCAGGGAGGGGTGTCAGGCCCACTTTTCAAATGGGTCTTTCTCACACAGGCTGGAGAGCTACCCCAGATATTCTGGTCACGGGTGGTCAGTAGGGGTGGACATAGTAGGGGCAGCAACTGGCCTTCCTTTGGATGGGGTTCAGAGCCAGCTATCCTTGCCCAAGGCAGAGCCCATGCAGGCTGGATCTGCTCCCAAGCCAGATGCTGTTCATCGGGAACCCCTGGCCTGTACCTCCCTGTGAGCCATACCTCTGCCCCCATTGATACCTCCAGGAGCCACCTGCAGGATGGAAAGCTGACAGGGAACCACTGGAGCCTGGGCCTCACACACACGGGAGGTGGGCACATCATTCAGCTACTGCCCGCAGCCACCCTGGGCTGGGTATCATACTCATTGTCAGCTTCTATACATCCTGGTTCTGAGACTGCACTCAGACCAACCTGGCCTCTTGGCCTCCAGGAAAGGAAGCGACGATGTTCTGTGCACCTGGCACAAGATCTAAATGAAGAAACATATAAAACCCTCAAAGAGATACTGAAGGAAAAATTAAATACTTGGAGAGACAGTCCCTCTTAGAGGGTGGAAAGCCTCAGTATTGTCAGATCTTCCCACCTTGGACTGTCCAGCCTGGTTGCAAACAAACCCCACTAAGTTCTTCTGCAGATCTAGACTGATGTCACATAGAGAGGCAGACGACCCAGAGTGGCCACCTAGATACTGGAGGGAAACGGTAAAGTGGTAGACCTGCCTCCCCCTGCACCAGACTCACACAGTCAGTGTGGTGTGGGGGAGATCACAGACAAATGCCTAGACAGAGCCAACATCCCTGAGACAGATCGCTAAACGTGGTCAGCTGACGGCAGCTGAGGCGAACAGGAGCTGTGGGGCAGAGACCATCTACAACAAATCCTGTGGGAAGGATTCTGTACCTTTCCAGTGTCACAGTCTGGATGAAGCCACACAGCCAGCTATAAAACTCCCACAATGAGCATGCCTTTCATGCCCGCACTGAAGAAGCAGGCACCTGCAGATCTCTGAGTTCACATCATCCTGGTCTACATGGTAAGTTCCAGACCAGCTGGAGCTACATAAAGAAGACCCTGTCTCATAAAAACCAAACCAAACCACAACCTTCCTTCAAGGTAACATAGGAAGCCCTGATGAGTTTTAGCAGAGGTGGAACTTTAGACACAACCCTGAAGACAGAGCCACACAGCACTGCGAAGCTCCTGCCCTGTAAAGGACAGGTCTCTAAGAATGAGGTGAGCAACAGACTCCGAGAAGATGTTTGCAAGGTTCACAAGGGCTAGCACAGAGCATCACCCAGAATAGCAAAGAACGGCTAATATTTATCAAGAGACAGACAAGCCAGTTTTAGAAATGGCTAGAAGACCTGGTCACATGCCTCTCCAAAGAAAATACCCAGACGGAAAGTCAGCAGACTGCAGTGGTCAGTGTCGTGTATCTTTAGGGGAGTATGCACAAGAGACAGGGTGGCAGATCAGCTTGGTCGCTAAAGTGCCTGTCGTGAAAGCGCCAGGACCCGAGTGAGAGCCTCTGCAGGGTCCCTAAAAGTGTGCGTTGTGCACCTGCGCAGTCAGCACTGAGAAGGCGGACACAGGAGGATCTTCAGGGCTTGCTGGCCAGCCATGGGATGCAGTAAGTGAGTTCCCGGCTCAGGGAGAGACTCTCAAACAAGTTGGGGAGGGAGAATGGAGAGAGGACGAAGTCCTGAGTGAATGTGTTGCTGTCTTGAGCATGACTTTGCGGAGGACACTTCAGACTAGCAGGAATGGCATTCTCCCCTGGCCTGCGTCCAGATGTTGGAGAATGGGTGATCTTTAGCTAACAACAGACCTCCTGTAGCTACCTTGTTCAGGGTGACTGCTACCCCAAACCTGAACCCTACACAGACCCTCTACTGAGTTTTGCTAACCCGCTGCCTCCTTCATGCTGTATGTAATAAACTCGCTGGAGTCTCCAGGCGGCTGCTGGTGTGTCTCCATCAGAGTTTACGGCCCACCCCAGGTCAGTTTGAGTCTGTCTCTTTAAATCTCTTGTCACTCCTAGTCTGGGCTGCTGCTGAAGAGCAACCAAGGAAGACACCAAGATCAACACACACATACACACATACACATACACACACACACACACACACACAACACATGCATAAAAGCAAAATGGAATTTTACTGCAAGCTACTCAGAACAGCCAAAATCCAAGACACTGACAGCACTAAATGCTGGTAAGGTTGTGGAGCAACAGAACTCTTCCTTCTCGAGGCTGGGATGCAAACACCTTGGCCTCTGATTCAGCAATACAGTTTCAGCAGATAACCCAGCAATTGCACCCTTAAGGGTTGACCCAAATGAATCAAAAAGCTTCTAGCTACACAAAAAACCAGTTCTAGCCATTTACAGCGGCTTTGTTCACAATTACCCAAACCGAGGAGCAACCAAGACACCCTGCAGAGGACAAATGCAAACATGGCAGCATAGCCAAGTGGATGGGATAGTATTCAGCACTGCGAAGGGATGAATTACCAAGCACGTGTTATTACGATCATATAATATTCTCAAAGAATCTAGTGTATGGAAGCAATAAAAAGGCCAGGGATAGGGCAAGTTGGGTGAATAGATGGAAGATGGAGTTTAAAAAAAACACATCAAAACTATGTGGATGTAATGGTGAGCACATGTCATTAGACATGTCATTAGACATGTACAGGTGGACACGGTGGGTCATGCCTTGTAAGGACGGCACCTGGAAGGTGGAACCGAAAGGATCAAGAGTTCAAGGTCTTTTTCAGCTGCACAGTGAGTTTGAAAACAGCCCAAGCTGTGGGACCATTTTGAAAATATAGTGCCGAGAGGTGGATCCAGTGTTAATATGGATTTAAATTTAGAGGCTGGTAAGATGGCTCAGTGGTTAAGGTGTTCGCTGCCAAGAATGCCAATCCAAGTTTGATTCCCAGAACCCACACAGTGGAAGGAGAAAACCAACTACTGAAAGCTGTCCTTTGACCTCCACACACACACGCACACACACACACACACACACACACACACACAAATGCACACACATACACACACATGCACACACATGCACACACATGCACACATGCATGCATGCACGCACGCACGTACACACACACACACACACACACACATAATATACATGCACACGCATCAGCTAGGTGTGACTGTACTCCAGCACCGCGGTCTCCTGATGACCACGTATGTAGGCTGCTGTGAGGGAAGTTGTAGCTGTGGACAGGGTCACTGAGTACAGGAGAAACCTGTGTAAATTTTTGCTCCAAATACGGAGCTTATCAGTTAAACCAAAGCAAAAGATGACCAAAATGAAAGGCTGAAGGGAAGAGGAAGGGAGGGGAGGATGCAATAGACAGGGAATCCAGCTCACAGCCATGGCTCTCGAGGACATCTCACCTTGCTGAGACCCTGGGAAAGCCTGTGCATGGCTCCAGTGGAGAGCACTTAGTCAGACGGAACACAGCATTTTAACATTGCAGGGGCCGAGGAGACTGCAGATGCTAATAGGAAAGACATAACATTTTATTGCCTGGTGTGATGGCTGTTCTTGGTTGTCAACTTGACTACATCTGGAATTAACTAAAACCGAAATGGATGGACACACCTGTGACAAACTTTTTTCTTAATTAAATCATTTGAAAGGGGAGACCTAGTTCTATTCCAGGGATGTGAGATGGGAAGTTCCACCACAGATCTGCCTCATCGTTTTTTGTTTGTTTTGTTTTGCTTTGTTTTTTGAGACAGGGTTTCTCTGTGTAACAGCTCTGGCTGTCCTGGAACTCACTCTGTAGATCAGGCTGGTCTCAAACTCACAGAGATTTCCCCCCCTTTGCCTTCCAAGTGCTGGGATTAAAGGCGTGTGCCAACACTGCCCAGTGTATATGCCCTATCTTCTGCTGGCAGCCAAAATAAAGAACATGGAAGAAGGAAGCTCTCTCTTTGCCTGCTCACCCTCACTCCCATTGGCAAGTCTATTCCTTCACTGGCATTAGAGCCCACCTCTTTGGGATCTCAGCTGAAGACCAGTTGAGACACCCAGCCTCATGGACTGAACAACTACTGGATTCTCAGACCTTCTCTTGGTAGACAGCCATTGTTGGACTAGCTGAACCACAGCCTGTAAGCTGTTCTAATAAATCTCTGTTCTCTTTCTATAGATTCAGTCTATAAATTCTGTTGCTCTAAAGAGCCATGACTAATATACCCAGTATTAAAGAACATCCAAACAACAAAGGTGGACATTTCTCTGTGGGTTAGGAATCAGTATTTTAACTTTATCCATTTTTTAAACTGGATCTTTTTTATTCAATGTGATGTCAAAGTCTTACTATAGTTTCTGATTATTAAATCAATTTATTCATTTTTGTGGTGCTGGGAATTGAAGGTAGGGCTTCGCATGCACTTGGCAAGTGTGCCTTCTCTGAGCTACAACCTTTTTCTGAGACAGGGTTGCATGGTCCTGCTTAGTTTTTATTGTCAACTTGACACAACATAGAGTCACCTGGGAAGACTGAAACTTAATTGAAGAATTGCCTTCACCAGATTGCCCGTGGCCATGTGTGTGGTTGTT